GCACAAATGTAAAAGAGTTTTATTTTTGTCCAATCACCACTTTTAGCATTGCTTTCAGAAAATCTGCCATTCTTCTTTGAGAACTAAAACTCCTATAATGTCTCATCCCTATGTTAAACAGTACTGAGACCAGGAATAATTTTCTCTCCGTGTTCAGCATTACTGAGACGGAGCAAAATAACGTGGCTGCTTGATCCAGAAAAGGGCTGTTCTGAAAGAGAGTACTGTAAGGCCGGTTGCCTTGCAGGGAGCTCGGACACCCCCATCCTTCTCCACACCTAAGTTAAGTCACCAGAATCTGCACTCAGCATCTAGCTTCCCCACGCCCACCTCTGCGCTCTGCACTAAACTCTGCACTGGCACCTAGCCAGCCATTAGAAAACCCTGCCAAAACCTGCCCAATAGCACATTGCCCTGTCCAGCCTGCCCCCCCAAAAATCCCGCCTACCCACGTATAGCAGCTTGCCACGTCCACATCCTATTTCCCCACAGCTAATCAGAGTGCCTTCCCTCCTTATATAACCCCACGCCTCACTTCAGGCATGAGAGAAGTCAGGTGTGACTTTCCTGGTCTCTTTCCCCAGGACCACGGAACCTTGCCCCGGAAGCTGAACAAATTAGCATTTAATCTTTTTGTGCTGGCCTCAGTTTCCTCATTTTAAACTAGACAATAAACCTTATAAGGACTATAAACCAGTTCTCAAAGATAAACTGGCAACTACACAGTTTACAGATTAAGTCCAGCAACTTGCTCAGAGGATTCACTTCAAGCCCTTAGCCTTGCTTTAAACTGATCAAAGCTATTATGTCATACTGCCCAAGCTCATTCAGTTACTCCTACCCCTGCCTTGCAATATCTACCTTAAAACAACCAACCAAGGTCCCAACACCTTTTCCTCATTTCCCCATTTTGAGGTGCCACTAAGACTCTGTAGATCTAATAAATTTCTCTTGGCTGGATATACAGATTTTTCTAGTTTTTCAAGAGAGTTTATGGTAGACACAACCCTTAACCGTATCTTCAACAGGTTTCATAATATTCTGAGCACAATGGAATTAAAATACATACATATATATTCTGGCTTATGAAATTCAATTTCTATGCTCTCGAAAGCACTCGCCCAACCTTTCCTCACCTTAGATGTGTGGCTTAAGGGACTTGGAATGGGGAGGTAGCTTGGTCTTCTCTTTAAATGGGAGTGAGATAGGAGGTGGAGCGGAGCGGGTATTTGGTTTGAGGTGACCCTACTTCCTTTGCAGACCTAACATTTCCAGGGATAAAGGATTTTCTCGGGTAACTGGTTACTTACTAGTCAGCAGTGTGGAGAGGTTCTTTTGCATTTTTCTGCTCTGGCTGGTTCCAAATGTTCTTATCTTCAGCAGTAGGGTGGCCACTGTGTAGATGGTGGGTTGGCTTTTTCTGGTCATGGTCAGCATCATGCTGGCCCCTCCATCACTGATGTCTCCCTCCTTTTCCTTCATTCCTTCCTTCCCATTCCTTTTCCTTTCTTCCTTCCTTTCTTTTTTTGAGATAGAGTCTCACTCTGTCGCCCAGACAGGAGTGCAGTGACATGATCTTGGCTATCTGCACCCTCCACCTCCTGGGTTCATGCGATTTGCCTGCCTTAGCCTTCTCAGTAGCTGGGACTACAGGTACCTGCCACCATGATCAGTTAGTTTTTTTTTTTTTTTTTTTTTTGTAGAGACTGTGTTTCACCACGTTGGCCAGGCTGAGCTCAAACTCCTGACCTCAAGTGATCTGCTTGCCTTGGCCTCCCAAAGTGCTGAGATTACCAGTGTGAGCCACCGCGCCCAGCCAGATGTTTCACTCCTAAGGGATCACCCTCTCCATCAGTTCTTGCCTCCAAAATCTTTTCTTGGTGCAGTGTTGCTCCACTCTGCCTTCTCTTATAAACTCTGTGCTCCTTCTATGGAGCCACAGGAACTACTGAGAAACTGAGACTAATAACAGAACATTGTAGTGAGAATTAAACACACTACTAATATATGTGGCACATAAGCAATAAGTTGTAATGTTCTTTCTTCCCTATTACATGCAGTGCACTGTGTTAGTGATGGTGCCTTTGTAGTTTGGAGTGAAAATATGAGTATTATTTTTTTAAGTATGTAAGAAAAGGTTCATAAACATACTTTAAACCCAAAATCTAACCTACTGTGGTTTCATTAAACTACAAACTAATGTAGATTTACCATCACATCTTTTAAAATTCTAGTCAAGGCCAATGAGGAACAAAACAATGACGCCACGGTGGTACCTCATTTTGACTGTTTTTGTTGTTGTTGCTTTTATTTTTTGTTGTTGTTGTTGTTGTTACTGCTATTGTTGCTTCTTAATAATAATAAAATATTTAATTCAGAATCTGAAAAGTAGATGCTTTATGGTTGATGAAATTAGACTCTATTCAAGGTGTAAAATTAATATGTGCCAACACAAAAGTGAGACATTTCACTTAACATTTTCCATGACATGTCTTAAAGACTATTGCCATTTAGGGAGATTCAAAAGAGAAAAGTGAAAAATAGTTATAGCATATGAGTGTAATAAAAAAGTTTAATCACGAACTACCAATACACCAAACTGGTAGGACAGAGTTTACATTAGATCACAGGAATGAATATAAAAAATACAGGCAATATTTTTGAAAAAACAACCAGCAGTGAAAAATTTATTTATAATATAAACCAGACACTCCAAAATAATTTGTGGTTTACTTAATTCTTACCGTTCATCCTATATTCTTTTGAATAAGCTGAAGGAAGGCACCCGAGTAACTACCTCAGCTGTTTTTGATTTTGATTCTGAATTTTCCATGAGATGAAAACTCTAGTGTATATAACAAAAAAAGATGGCATGTCATTTTTTTAAAGTTAGATTTTTTTTCCCTCAGTGTAGATACATATTAAAAAGAAATGTATTATAATAAATTACTATATTTCCAAATTGTCTCATTATTTTTGGGCAAACAATAATTGCATACAAATTCTGAATAAAGGAATATCACATTGCATCTTATATGTTCTGCAATATGCACTCATAGAAAATCATTACAGTAACAAAACCAGCTGCATGTAATAGAAAGCAAATGATTTACAATGTTACTGTGAGAAACTACTTTATTTCATATTATCATAAAAAGAACAGAACCGAATATTTGCATGACAAACAGAAGAATCCAGAAATTCCAAATGCAACCCAGTTTTTTAAAATTTAAATAGGTATTAATGCTGGAAGGTGATTTGAAAAGCCGTCCACTCTAGAGAATATTAGCAATTATAATTTGCAAAGTCATTATTAGTCCAACAATTGAAAGAAAAATTCTACAAACATGAATAGAATATAGAAAAATTGGAGTGATACGTGCTTCTATCATACAACATCTGCGTTAAAGAGCTTATACTTAGTGATTTTGAACACTATATTTCATTTAAACTGAGAATTACAATGCATTTTTGTTCTTAAATAAAGCTTGACCCTGAAATTTTAACCACACCAAAAGCTTTCGATGACTGTGTTTTAATGTTTTATATATCAGTCTGCCTACCACAGCTCCATCCACATGAACTGGCCCCGCCCACATCCCTAAGAAAAGGGAAATCCTTCCCAGACCTCAGAGCCCTAGATCTCTCCCTCTACCCAGCCACAGATACAGGTCATGGAGCCAAAGCTGCCATGATATGTCCTGCCCCAAGAAAAACTGACACTTCTCTCAATCATGGAAATTAAGGCTAAAAACTATAAGTCAGTGCCACAATAAGTCCTGGCAAGAAGAGGGAGAATTAAGAGAAGGAAACAGAACAGGAGTAGGCAGGGGCTGGGAGGGAGGGACAAATTACAGAGTCCTAGGTGACAGTGAGGAGATGGAGACACAGGGAGAAACAGACAGAGCCTGGGTAGCCAGGCATGTCAGGAGTGGATTACCTGTACAAGCCTGGACTCTTGCTGCCAAGACCCCCTCAAACTCCAGCTAAACTCCAGGATGCCTGGCTCAGGACTGACTACTAGGCTTAAATATTCATGAAATTCCATACCTCTAATTTTGCTCCACATACATCAATATAACAAACCATTCTAAACAAATTAACTGGCATGAATCTCAGGTCCTGCAGCCAAAGAATATATAAATTATATATATATGGATAAAATTCAACATATTAACTATATATGCCTATAACATAATAATTAGTATATGTTATATTGTGATAGTTATATATTTATAAATTATAATACTATACAATGTAATATTTATATTTCTAATAAGTTTATAATACTCAACATAGAAATTATATAGTATATATGTTATTATTATATATTATGTACATAAAATTGTAGGTTATTATATATGTCACAAAACCAGAGAAAAGTTCCAAGACTCAAATATTTATGCCTGAAGTCCCAGCTTTAAATCCCTTGTTAGAGCTATTGAGTTAGAGTGCTCTTCAGCGATCATGCTTTTTAGAAGAGCAACTCATTCAAGTTATCTAATAAATTTTATAGTGGGTGCACTGAATGAACAGAAAATATATTTTAAATATAATTTAAAAAATACATTAAATAAGCACAGTAAACCTGCTTTTAGTTTAAGTCTTTATTACTGATCACTGTGTATCATAATGACACTGAACTACAATACACCAAATATTGCAACAGAGCAAGCTATCAATCCAAACCTTGGAGCTCTCCTAAGATGGCCGGGTTTACAAATGTAAACACTGATTTTACCTAACCAGTTAAAAAAAAAAAAAAGCGATAAACTGTGTGAAATGCTGCTAATTGGCCAAATAAGAAATGGATTGTGAAATGTGTAGCCGGAGACGGGTGAAGACAAAAATTTGACTGATGTATGTTCAAGAGAAAAAGAGCAGAAAGAGAAAGCAAATATGAACAAGTCTTTCATTCAGTAAGTTTTGCTCTAAAAAGAAACAGGTAGCTGGAGGCGGTGCAGTGGTGTATGGACAAGTAAGTTTTTTTTCTTTTTTTTAATATGAGAAATACCAGATAATATTTGTATGTTGAGGAAATTGATCTGGTAGAGAAAAAAGCCACTGAGCATGCAGGAGGGAGAAAGGATAATGGCAGATGCAAAATCCTTGAGAAGACAAGAAGAGATGAAGTCCATTACCTGAATCTCAGATGGGAAGGAACACAGACAGGTGATCTACTACTGTAATAGGAGAGGAGAGGCAGGGCAAGTATTGGGGTAGCTTCATGAACTATATTTCTATTAATTCATCTTAAAGTTTCATTAATTTATAAGCTGCGACACCACAATATCAATTTCTACTGCAGTGAGAATCAACCAAGATCCTGCATCTTTTCCCTGTATGTTGGTAGGTCACCTAACCAAAACACTCCTAATTTTTAAAAACAAGTTCACTAACAACATCACTTCAGGTTTATGTTAATACATCCGGAACATCTAGTTCTTATGTTCTACCACAAGGTAATAGTATAGGGGACCTAAGACCATTTCATCACATCATAGAAGGCTCCTGGAACTCTTGGGCTCGGGTCATGACCTCACTTTGCTTACAATATATTATTCCTTGTAGCAGGTACAATATTTCAGGCCATATACTCAGATGATAGGCAAGAAATATAACTCTACTTCCCTATTACTCAACATAATCTCTATTTTGATTCTCCTAGCTCTACTCTTGTCAAAATATATCCAGAAAATGTCATATCTGCATAAATGCAATCATTTCAGGTTTTAAACTCAGATAAAATTTTCATCTCCCTATCCTTCTCCCTAAGACCAAAACTAAGTTCTAAAGGCTGGACTGAAATTGAGGCCCCAAGGAGAAGCTCAGGAGGGTCTATGGTTGTCAGCATCGACTCCCATTAGCAAGTCATATGAAGTCATGTGGCTGGTCCCTGGTTCTTTATCCACGTACTCTGAATTTTCCCAATCCCAACCCAAAGAACCCTAGTATATCAGCTCTCTCTCAGTCATTTTCACACATTTCAGGGAGAAATGAAATTTTTGGAGGTTCTCCGTACCTCTCTGATGGCAGGAAGCTCAGGGAGTTGCCTGTATCAAGACTATCTCTGCCTTGAGTCTCCCTGCCCTGCTATTCTACTGTACCATTGCTGCTCCAAGCCAATGTGGTACTGGGGATTAGGGAGGTCCAGGAGTTTGCTCACTTTCAAGGTCTTTCTTGAGAAACAAGATCAAAGTGACATTTACTTTTGGATGCCAAAATTTACCTGGATGGTCTATCATCAATCTGCCCAACTCCAATGCTCAAGAAGTGAGGAGGCAAGTGGAACGCTCTTGGAGACAGTCCACCTGTCCAACTATCTTGATCTTTACAAGCTCCCTATCCTTCACTTCTTCCAATGAAATCCTTGTCTAGTGTAGCTCTTTCATCAACTGCATTCTTCCCCAATTTTTTTCTTTACTGCATACATTTTGGCCTTTGTTCTAGCTTCTCCTATTGTCTACTTTGAAATGGGAAAGCTGAGAATTGACTCTGTTGTATGCCTTGGCCTCAATACTCTGGAGCAGTAAGTTTGGCTCTCCTAGCTACTGCCTGAAACTAGAATGAAGGTCATAAGGGGGCCAGTAATTACTAGGAATAAGAAAAACATAAGTTATTATCAAGATATTATCAACCTTACAACCACACGAGCTTGTTAAGGCATGTTTTTCCAAGAAGGCTTTTGGAATAGGTTTGCCATTTCATAATAAATTTAAATTTAGTCTGTTTTAATACAGTATATAGTTATAATCAATTTGGTTCATCACATATATTTATCTGCATATATTTATCTTCTTAACTATCAAGTTCTTATTTATCCTTCACATGTTCTTTAGCTTATAAAGTTGAATTGGATTTAACATAATTTGAATGATGGTAAATTAGAATTCTCTTGCTTTTAAATGTTCTGCTGTTATTTTAAGCAAGCTTTGATGCTAGAAGAAAAAAGTGTGCATGTTAATAGGCATACATTTAATAGACACAAAACTAAAACTAAAACTGTGATAAAATTTCATATTTGTAAAATTATTTACAGTTTACAAAATGGTTTTACATGCATTATTTTTATTCTCCAGCAAGTGTCTACTATAGGTTGAGTTAGTGTGTGAGGATTGGTCTCCTGAACGAAAACTCAACATTTTTCCACAAGGAACAGACTGTTAGCATTTTCACCTTTGGTTATGAAAGCAGAAGAGTTGAGTGATATCCTAGGTCACTGTCCATGCATAAAGTTTTTAAATATATTTCAATTTCTCTGCAATTTATGGACACCAAACACCACAGTATTTGATAATGTTGCTCACAGAGTATGTCATGGGGCACAAAATACGTCAATTATGCTTTGCCATTGTTATCCCTGTGCTTTCACTGAAGCAGTGTTAGGCCCTGGCATCATGCCAAGGATGCTCTGATAATGCTTAAAGCCAATTGAAGTCCAAGAGTTGTCCAAAGGATATGAAGGATCTATTTTTCAAGTGTCCTGATGTGAGCAATACCTAAAGAGAGCTCTGCAACCTCACAATCTTTGTGATGAGACAGGAAAAAAAGTGGTAATGTGGGTATTGGCTGCAGCTTCACCTCTTTCAAATTAAATGAGATTGAGATGTTAATGAATGCAGTATAATGTAAGTCATCAGCAAATGTCAGCTATTATTATTATTAACATTGAGATAACAGAGTTAACATTAGAGTAGCAAATGGAAGTTAGAAAATATTGATTAGCCCAAGGTGATGATATTGGGATCTGGGGCCCCTGGCAGAGCACTCTTCACTAGGATTAGCACTCTTACAAAAGAGATCCCAGAGAGCTGGCTCATTCCTTCTACCCTTGAGAACACAGTGAAAAGACTGTCATCTAGAAGGAAGTGGGCCCTCGCTAGACAACCATTCTGCTGGTACTTTGGTCTTTTGACTTCCCATCTCCAGACTCGTGAGAAATAAATTTCTGTTGTTTATACGCCATGAAGGAGAAGGGAAGGGAGGAGAGGTGAGTAAAGGAGAGGGAAGGGGAGGGGAGGGGGAAGGGAGGAAGGAGAAGAGAGAAGGAGGAGGGGGAGGGGAAGGGGAAGGAAGGCAGAGGAAATGGGGAGTAGAGGTAGAGAAAAGGGAAGGAGAGGATGGATACACTGATTAGCAGAATGTTATAAGATTCACATGAGGATATTATACTTTTGTTTTTAAATTTATCATAATTCTCTCTGAAGTGAAAATCTAGAATATTAAAATACTACCTGGTATATGATCTATTACATAAATTTCTAATTTTGCTATTTACAGGTATATAAAGTAAGGAGTTATTTTTCTTCAACTCAAGGATCTGATTCATTTTTATAAAGTTGTTAAAATTATGCGTAGAAACTTATTACTGAATTTTAAAAGAAGGCTTGAAATACATTAAGAGCTTATTTTATGTTACTTTTGTTTAGAAAAAGAGTGTCCAATAACACTGAGTTTGGCTTGAAACAAAAATAACTCAGGGTCTCTATTTGCTGTTTCTCACTTGCTGGGTTAGAGGGCATCTGCTGCAGCTCAAGATCCTTAATTATTTGGTGAGAAACGGTCCAGACCAATTGCTGTGTAGCCTTTGCCTTCAGGTAGGAGGAAAGTACTTGGAAAAAGGAGGGGCACATCATCAAGCCAACAGCAACAAGCGTCTTTTGAGCAGTTCCTATATTTCAGGCCCTCTCTGTATTTTTACCTGACTGCCTTATTTAATCCTCCCAACAACCCACTTGGCAGATGAGGAAACCTAAATTTGGAAGGTTTACATAATTGCCCAAGGTCACATTGCTATTAGTCTTCAGGGGGACAAAAATCTATCACAGGGAGTGTATTTAATAGTGTTCAGTAAGTGTCTCCATGCAAGGAACTTTGAAGGAAATCTTCATTCAGAAAGGGTTACAAGCCCTTGATTCCTGACATGCCTAATACAGAAGACTTCACTTTTACAAAGCTAGCTTGCTCATTTTTTTTTTCAGTGTCCAAGCATAGACAGAAAGGAAAACTAAGACCATTGAAGGAGGTCACCTTATAAAGGTGATTTGGGCAAAACCTACCTTGGAAATTCATGCAACACACTTCATACTTGGAATAGGGTCATTTAAAAAACTTCCTTAATTTTCCTTGAAACCTCAGGTTAAAAGAACACAGTTATAGGCACAAATTACAGAATCCATATACCTTCTCATCTTGCATAAACTTGATTACCACAGTAAAATGCAGTTTCTCATTAATACGAATCTATTGGGAAGCCACTGTGGATAACCTGAGATCCAAGTTTGGAGAGAGAAGAAATTTAAAATTCACTGTTTTCTGGAAGAAGAGTTTAAGTTGCTCAAGGTCATATACATTATTTTATTGAGCCAGATGACTTCTGTCCACTATACTATATAATTCCTGAAAGGAGGAATTTCTTTTAGGTCTACATTGCTAAGCAACACCTTAAGCTCAGTTTTGGCTGTGCAGATCATCCATGATCATTCCAATAACCAGAAAATGATTATAATACATACTTGCAACAGTCCTTCCCTATATCACAACTTATAGGTGCTCTGAAGGTGACCTAACCCAGAAAGTATAAAAGATAGGCACATAGTTCTAAGCCCAAAGTGCTTTTATAATCAGATATCCAGATGGACTAAAACATGGTTGAGGTCAGTTGAAAGTTGATTTAAAATAACTGTTTAAAACTGGCCCTGGAACAAGAAGAGTTGGATCTATCCCTCAAAATGCCACTTTCCCCCTGGGCTTTATATCAAACACACAAAATATAACAAATAAAGCAAAACATACCAAAGACATTTACTTTGTTTAACATAGATCAAGTAAGTAGAAAGGCAGAGAACACTAGATCTCACATGGAGGAAAAAAGCACCACCACCAAATGCTTTAGCCAGCTGTCCACCAGTTTAATGTTCTCTAAATGAACATATTTCCAGAAATATTATCCCAGAAATTTTATAGATTAAAGACTGTCCCAGAAATATTATAATTTGAATCCCTTATTCTCTGTTTAAACAATAATCCCATCTTTGATTTTTTTAATTGCATTTTAGGTTTTGGGGTACATGTGAAGAACATGCAAGATTGTTGCATAGGTACACACATGGTAGTGTGATTTGCTGCCTTCCTCCCCATCACCTATATCTGGCATTTCTCCCCTTGCTATCTCTCCCCAACTCCCTACCCTACCTCCCCCTCCGATTTTAACTGAATATAAAAAAATTAGCAGATGTTTACAAAGTACAAAGATAATACGTTTATATAACTTTGCTAATCATTGCTTTTAGGAATAATCAAAATTCCCTAGCCCTTATTAACCTCACCTAAATCAACAGAAGTAACAATGTTCTGGAAGATTTCAGAAATACTCATGATGATGAGACAATTGAAATTTGAAGACCAATATCAAAGTAGTCACAAAATCATCTTCCAATAGCAATAATCTCTGCTTCTCAGTAAATATAATGAAAGAATTTGAGAATTCTGGATTTGGAAGTGGTCTCTGAAGCATAGACAAAACCCAGCTTTCCAGGCCTGTAACTCCTTAGTTTATAGAACCAGGATTAGAATTCAGGTCTAATGCTCAGGCCCATGGATGTTCCATACTCTCACTCACAAACTCCCAATAATTTCACTGCTGATTGTCAAAAAATAAAAATAAAAAATCCCTGCATATATGCATAGGAGACACATGTAGATGTTTATGCAGCATTGTTTATTATAATTGAGAAACTAGAAATAACTTAAACGTCCTTTGGAAGGAGAAAAGATCAGATGGGGCTTATTCATCTCACCCAACACCATATGCCAGTTAAAGTAAATCAATTCATGTTCTATGCATTAATATGCATTGATTTTGTTACAGGAATAAAAATTATACAACAGAATAGTATGATACTATGAAAACAAAATTAAAAGATGTTCCCCACAAAACCTTCTTATATGCAAATGTGTATTTTGCTCCATAAGTTCTTACCAATCTCAGCATGTTTTCACAGTTCAAAAAGGCGACAGATAATACAAATAGAAATTATATTTATCACTACAATCAAAAAGTTCAAGGCTTTTCAAAACCACTTGCACCTACATGTTATTTCTTCTAAATCTTGAGCTGTTGGTGTCAATTTCCTCATGTAGGGCCTATTAGTAAGACTTATATTTACTTGCTTTCTGTGATCATTAATTACCTTCATTTGCGAGAGGCAGAGCTCTCAGGACATCTTGAAAAATTTTATTTTTCTTCTGAATTAGAGAATTCTTTATTAATAAGTTACATAAACAGGAAATCAGCTTTAATATATTGACCAAATTCAATTAGATAGTTATAATGCAATTTGCTTCTTCGTGACGTGGATATACTATGCAGAATCTTTAAATGTTAGAGGATGCTTTGGTAGTTGCTATAAAAGACTCATTTTACAGATGGCCCAAAGAAGAAAAATAACTTCCCTAAAGAAATGTAGCTAGTAATAGGCAGACCTGGGATTAAGACCCAGGCTGCTGATTAGATCTCTTTACACTACATACGACGTTACTTTTGAGGCATCACAAACTGTATCCACACTGCCCAATCCCAGAAGAGAAATTAATCAGTCCAGTGATGAAAACAAAACAATCACCAAAAATCTCCAAATGCTAGTTCATTGCTGTAATAATTTCAAGTCAACTTGCCAAATATTCTTTTACTTTTCAACTCGTTATGTGGAGACTGATCTATCTACGTATCTCCAATATGACTCTGGGGCTTTGTCATATGTACATGTACGTGAATTTTACATACATTTCAGTGTGTATATATTTGAGGTGTGTGTGCATATCTGAAGTCTAAAGACTGTAACGATACCTTGAGAAAGCTTCTTGTTGTCCTTATGTTTCTGAATCTCCATCTGGAAAATAATTAATATCCATTACATAATATATATAGAAGCATTAACCCGCTTGACCCAGTGGGCTAGTTAAACATGAGAGCATTATAATTGTTCTGCGACAGATTTGCAAGACGCCCTTTCAGAGATGCCTTTGTCCAAAGGGAAAATCTCTCACAATGTTTGGAATAAGTCTCCTTATGGGACTTTACTGAAAGGGGCAACACTTAGTAAATATTTTCATCTGTGAAATCCTCTACTCCTGGGGAATAAATATTGACTATTTTAACTTTCTGGTCAAAGCATTCTTATTCATTGCTGTAGACATTGTTAACAGTTTAAAATTAGAATGTTCAGCATTTTTCTTCTAAAATACATTATTTTCCCAAGACTTTGATTTTGGAATTGTACCAAACATTTCTGGATATATCATTAGTCATAGCAGAATTTTTTTTAAAGTGACTCTCTTCAATTCTGGTATGTTGTCCTTATGCATGCAATCCTTTCTTTTTTAAATTGTTGTTCATGTATATCTTAGAATTAGTAAAAAGAATGTTTAAAACTGCAAAACAATAAACATTTTAGGAGAAGGACTTTGATCTCGGATCTTCTGTAATTGGCATTATTTTTCACTATAAGCCAACCATATCTTTGACTCAACTGTCATGTTTTTACTCTGTTAATATAATCAAAAAAAGGAAAACTCTATAGGAAGTCATTTCCTTTTTATAATGCAATCCCAGATTCTATTTAGCTCATTTAGGTTTGTTTTTTGTTTATTTGCTTTTCCCAGGGGCAAAAATATGTTATTTTATTATCCTGGCTTAAAAAATATTAACTCATAATTTCTGATTTCACCAGTAAAACTAAACAATTTTGGCTTTAGCCAGGTGTTGGGAAAACTCAAAAGACATTTAGGTGCGACAGAAAGAGAGGTTAGTAATTCCAGTTGTTCAGCTCTTGCCTTTAGAGTATTCTCTGAATTGTATTGGAGTATGCTATTGAGTTGCTGTGAACTACTGCTGCCAACTTCCACCCTAGAGATGGCTATATTTCAGAGATGAGTGAAATGATACTTGTAAATAAGTTTATAATCATTAATAAAGCTTATCAAACAATTTAAGCTCTTCAGAAATACACATCCACTATTCTAATTGTCTCTTATTTAATTACAACCTTTAATAAAGAAATGAAAACTTTAAAAAATGTATAAAAACTCTAAACATTAAATTTGATTTCATGATGTTTATTTGGTTTTTGTAAGTTTCAGGTGTCAAATTATTTCTCCTTAGAGATCTTAGTGCAATTCCACCAATGACTGTTCCAAAGTACTGTTTGAAAATCCCTAAGAATATTTTTCTTTAGTTGACAACTGTGCACTCTGGGATTCATATGCTATATTCGCAGTATGATGATTTTGTTGTTTTCCACACATGGCCTTTTCATACACTGTCTCTCAGGGATGAAAAATTCTGCCTTGAATGAAGAAGTTTTAAACTTTCTTGAAAATAATAAACACGATATTTTACATGTTTATGGCCACTTAAGTTAAAAAAAAAAAACTCTGCATTTACACGTATCATATTGTCTCACTCTCAAAATTAGTCTTGTAAAGGGAAAAAAGGCATTAAGTTATTGAATAAATTGAGTGTCTGCTGCATGCTAGGCTCTATGAAGGGGCTGCATGATAGACAAGGTGGTCCCAAAACATAAAATTTTCTTGGGAAGGTAAGACACGAACAGAATTAAAGGCAATAGGTGTAGTAGGTGTCTCTTCCAATTGAGAAACAGAGGGGCAAAAGGAGATTTCTGTGCCACTTTGTGCCAGGAAAGACACATGTATTATCTCCTAAAACTCGAAAGTCATGTTTGGGGCGTGGTCTCCACAGGATCTGCACAGTCTACTACAGTGTGAGTCCCCAGGGGGGTCCTTTTGACGTCGTCATGGAGTCTTAGACATGACGTGGAACTGGCTTTTTTTACTCGTAAAAACACTGAGGCTCGGGGAGGTGAAATGACTTGGCTAGGGTCACACACAGTGACAGCAGCAGAGGCGCAGCCGGAACCAGGTCTTCGGACGCCAGCCCAGTGCCTCCCTACATCTCTACTCCCTGTGTTCGTTTTGGAAGCTATTTGCCTCCCTCTCGCCCCTCTTCTGGGCGTGGGATGTCACTTTCAGTGAACTGACGGACTTTTCAAAAACAGAAGGGTGGATAAAAGGTTGGAGAAAAGTTTGCTTTTGGTCAGTGGAGGCCTGATTCGTTCCAACACCATTTATGGATCTGCTCGTGCCTGGCACTAGGCATCCAGGACACAGCGACAACAGATTCACCGCCCTCAAAGACTGAAAAGGGGTCTCTCACTAGCTACGGGCGTCTCCAGGTCCTTGACGACCTCCTCTCCGGAGCGGTGCCCAGGTCTCCCCAGGGCTCACCTGCCGGCTTCTGCAGGCCCCCCAGGTCCCGAGGACCCGCCACTGGGTCAGGCCCAAGTAGCAACAAGCCAGGAGCCCAGAGACCCCGCCGCCGCGCCCGCGTCGCGCGCCGTCAGTCGCCACGGCAACCAGGGAGGCGCTGACCCCTGACCTCGAGGCCCCGCCCCTTCGCGTTCCCGATACCATCATGGAGAAAGCCAACCCGGAAGTGCCGCCGCAGCCGCCTGCCGGGTGCTAGGAGCCGCAGGCCGGGCCAGGCCGACGCCAGCGCCCGTTGCCCTCAACTCGCGGCCCGCCCTGCGTCCCGCAGTCTTCTGGGCGGCCGCGTCCCCCGCCCACCTCCACTCCACCCCCAGGCGACCCGCCCTCGCCCAAGAGGAGGAGCTGAGGCAAGGGGGAGGAGGAGGGAGAGGTTTGCTAGAGGGAGCGAGGCCGCTTGAGCCGCCGGCGGTTCGTATTACCGGGGTCGGGAGGAGGAGTAGGGCCGGGCCAGCGGACGAACGTGGGACGTGCGGAAGGCGCTGAGGCATCTGAGGGTGCCCGGCCGCAAGGAGGCAGGCGGGAGGCCAGGGGTGCAGAATTGGGGCGGTGGGCTCCCTCTACCCGCTCAGCCCTCCGCCCGGGCCTCGGTGGCCAGGCCTCACGTGCCCGCAGGCCTGGGGAGGTGGAGACGCCAGGAGCGGGGGTTCGCGCGGAGGCCTTCACGGCGCGGCCAGGTGATGGTGGGTCTCTGTGTTTCTCCTGACGAAAGGGGACCCCCTAAGCGGCCGTCCCCCTGGGCTGCCCCCGCCAGGCGTTTTGACATCGGCCTTAGGGAAGTCGGGGAGCCCTGAGCCTGCCTGTCTCCGTTAAGTGCCCTTAGGATGCAGTGATTAAGGAATTAGGCTCTCCCTCCGGGAGGGGCACTGCCTGTGCGTGTGAACTCGTGTGCAGAGAAACGGGACAGGATGATGCTGTCCGAGCAAGCCCAAAAGTGGTTTCCAACCCACGTGCAGGTCACAGTGCTCCAAGCCAAAGATCTAAAGCCAAAAGGCAAAAGTGGCACCAATGACACATACACTATAATTCAGTTGGGCAAGGAAAAGTACTCCACCTCGGTAGCTGAGAAAACCCTTGAGCCAGTCTGGAAGGAGGAGGCCTCTTTTGAGCTACCTGGATTGCTAATGCAGGGGAATCCAGAGAAATACATTCTTTTCCTTATAGTCATGCACAGGTCTCTGGTGGGTCTGGATAAATTTTTAGGGCAGGTGGCAATCAATCTCAATGACATCTTTGAGGACAAACAAAGAAGGAAAACAGAGTAAGTTATGTAATTTATTTTAAATTTGGGGGAGTTTATGTCTTATTTATGGGTTTTCTGTTCCTGGAAATTATCCGTATACTTCGGGCGTTGGTTTTCGGACTGAAATATGACCCAGTTTTAAGCACCATATTTGCATGAATCTGAAGTATAAATAGCACTCGTGGTGAAATATTTTTAAAATGGAATCATTAATAATCAGCTATTTCTGTTAGAGGTAAACATCTGTCAAATTGAGGATTCTGCGGTGGATTTTAAGTAAATTGTTTCAGTATAAGAGGACTGGGTCACAATATTGACAAACTAGAACTTCATATAAATTGTTATGGATTTTAAACTTTACAATTATCAATGAAATGGAAGATCAGAAATTAAATTTGCCAGTGAAATGTTTATGTGTTGCACTTTGTAGCTGTCAAAAGATAAATTACCAGATTTAGAACTCAGTGTTCCATTTCAACATTATAAACACAGCCTTCATTTTAGCTCAGCCATTTTCAGGGTCAGTACGCCTTGATGGGAGTCCATACCTGCTAGAAAAAAAAGAAAGTTTTAAAAGTAGGTACCAACATTCTCAACTTCAAATGCACTAACATTTTCCTTTGAATCTGCGATTAAATCAGAGCTATTGTATTACCTCAGAATTGGTTTTGCAAAGCTATTGTGTTTAGACCATATTAAATGCTGTAGGATTGGAGACAATGATAAATTCTTGTGATGAAATGATTCGATGACATCTTCAATGGCCTCTTCAGTATAACTTTTGGGCTTGAGTTAGATATATTTTAATGTAAAAAATCATAATATAAATTAACACTAGGATATTGTGTCTTAAATTGAAATATATATATATGCTTTTAGAGATAGGTATAGTCACCCCCTCCTCGCTCCTTAAACTTAAAAGAACATTAATATTAATGAAATTAATGGGAGAAAAATACTGGTTGAACTTCTTAGGATTTTCCATTTCCTAAATAGTGTTGGTGTTTCGTTCAGTCATAAATGAATTTATTTCCTCTTTTAAAAACTGTCTTATAATGATATTTTTCTTCAAAGTTGTGTTAATTCCTGACATTTTTTAAAACAGCAGCTATCTCTTGTTTTTTTCTTTACATTTCTGCTCTTAGTCTTCTCTTGATTGTAGTTTTTTTGTTTCATTTTAAATCAAGTCCTTACCTAAGATTTAATATATGTAGAATAAAAGTGTAAAGCGATCTCTACACTTTCCTCTGGGAATGCAAGAGGAAAAAGGATAACATTTAAACTAATTGAGATTAAAATATTTTAGAAGGAGAAAGTTTTTTAAGAAGTGTAAAGTTGAATATGTATCAGTGATTTGAATAGTAAAATTATTTGATACCTAAAGAGTGGCATTAAGTTTCCTCCGAGGGATTCTTTATCAAATTGAAAGTGAAAAATGGATCATTACCAAATAATCTGTTTCAAATTGCCAATCTTGGGTGACACTTAGTAAATATTTAAAGTGTTTGAATGTCAACCGTTAAATATATTGCAACTTCAAATTTCTCACTTGATTTATAGTACTTTAATATTAATGGATCATGTATTTCAGACCTCTGAAACATAACTTTTCCGAGTGAAAATGGACCCAAATGTGAACCCAAAGAGCCTGAGGATGAAATAATCTTGCAGTTTCTTCTAGTTTTACTCCTAGTTATGGGCAAGATCACAGTTACAATACATTTGATGTGAGCAATACTCTAATATTATGGTCTCTCCTTACAGAAATTCTCTACTGGCTATTATATAAAATTGGTTAGAACTTTAGGGGGAAAATGCTTTTAAATGTTATCAACAGGGTTTGTGATGTTATTGCATTCAAAGTGACTTTCATACGTTATTAAGCCCTTAATATTTTCTTTGTGGATAAATGGGGACCACGTATTTGATGAGGTATCTTTATTGGTAATATTTCTAGTTTTTTAATATATTTAATAGCTTCCTTTTCTAGCACAGCTGTACATGTGCTAGTAAGAGACAGACTTGAGCCACTGGTATATTGCAAGAAAGATATTTAATATTCTGCACATTGCTAAACTGTGTCAGCATATTCCCCAGTGCTTTTTAGAAAACTGTTTTGAGTGATGAGGACTACCAGCTGACTTAGAAGTCCTATGAAACTGCTGGGTGTGACACTTTTTACTTTTTGACACTGAAGACATGTATTTTACAGCTTGTCTTCTGGTTGTGTCATGATAGATGAAGTATGACAGCTAAAATTATTACTTATTTCTTACCTTGAAAATGAATCTCTCTCGCTCGCGCTCACTGTCTCTCTCTCTCTCTCTCTTTCTCTCTCTCTCTCTCTCTCTCTCTCTCTCTCTCTCTCTTTCGGAATAGGGAAAAAGGGCCTGAGCCAGAGCCCTTTGAGTGGGCCTGGGAAGAGAACTTCTCTGTCTCCTCCTTTAAAGGATGTCTGGGTTGGTTCTGGCATGAGATTTAAATAAATAATACAATGTTTAATAATAGAATGTTAACATCGTTGATGCTGTTATGTAATATTCATTGATTTTTTTTTTTTACAATAGAAGTAGGTGATGTTGATTTTTTTTTTAATGCTCGTGGAAAGTAGTAACAACCAGAGTCTCTAGAGTTATATATGACTCAAACATATGCAGATTTTAGGACGTGTGTGTGTCTCTGCAGTGCACCTGTGTCCTGGCCTCTGGCACCCTTACTGCCAATTTTGTCCCATTTCTGACCACACAGCACCAATTGCTTGGGAATAGTTCCCACATGTGTGCTGGTTTTTGAACATGGACCTGTGCCCACTAAAAATTGAACGGAGGCCATGTATAGTTTAAATCTAGCACTCCAGAGGTGAAAAAAGTCAGCTAATCCAGTAAGCTTCAAATGCTGCGTCTTCATTTTATCTTTCTGAAGACTGGAAAAAACAAGTACTATCTCCGAAATGATTCTTGAAGATCTCATTAAGACGTCCTTATTACATCATTTTCAAAACAAAGCAACTAAGTTATTTTTCATTCCTACATTTTCGATGAGTATATTTTTAAAAGTTCTTTGCAGTTTTTCTTGGAGGGTGGGGAATGGACATGATAGTGTATTTACAGTTTGTAGTCAAACACTGATTTGCTTTATTCGAGTTTACCCTGGTCTTTACAGTTCCCTACTAAAAAACAAAACAATATGTATATAAAAAAAATACACAAAGTCATAGCTTACTTATAAGAATGTAGTTCTAGAAATAAAAATTGAATAAACATTTGATGCAAGGCAGACTGCCTTCCAGGAGCTTATAGTCTAGCAATACAAAATTTGCATTGTCTTTCTCTTTAGCTCTCATGTCTCCTGATTAAATACAGTGTCCTGCAATATGTGCCAGCCATATGGTTAACCTTATTAACATATGTGGTTCATCAAATAAGAAAGAACTATTTTCCTGCTGCTGTTATTCATCAACTTTAGGTTTTTTCCTTATTGACTTTAATCTGACATTGGGAAGTTACGTATCATTCATTGTGCCTCAGTATCTTCATCTGTGAAATAAAGATGTTAAAGTAAATGACTTATTGGTTTTATTTCTAAAATTCTATGAATTTTGACTACCCTTACCCCCTTCTATTTTGGGGGTGATTGATTTTTTTTGACTCATATTTGCTTTGATTTATTATATACATGCTCATTTTTGCTTGCATGTTTTTTGGTACATTTCTTGCAAAGTATATTCACCTATATTCTATAAAGCCTGAGATACTACAGAGTATTTCTGAGATACTGTTTATTAGATGTGTTTCTCTCCTTACTGAAAATGGGACTGTTTTCCAAAACTTTGAGTTAACTGAATATATAATCTGCTTCATTTTCAGGCTTTTGAGTGCTCAATTGTATGTTATTTAAGGTTGTCTGTTTTACAGAGTTTATTGCTGTCATTTCTTACTTTCTAGCACCTGTTTCTTCAGATTTTACCATTTGCCTTACATAAGGGATTTTCTCTGTTTAAGTTTTCAGGCTAATGCTATTGTAAAATATTGATATTCTAAAAAATTGCTAGTTTTGATGCAACTATATCTGAATTGCTTGAATTGCTCCAATTTAGTTAATCAAGAAAATATTTTTCTTGTTACTTGCTAAGATGTAGCTGGTATTTATATCAAGTGCCAGTTCTCTGTTCTTCCTGGAAGACCTATGAACCAGTATTTCAACTTGATATACAGTAAATGTAATCTTCTCCTAGCATATCCGGTTGGTAGCGATGAAAGAACGAATGCAAAATTAGATCAGAGTTCCTTTGTAGCTAAGAAAATTCGTTACACTCGATTAGAGCTATATTTAAATAATAACCTGTTTGCAGGAATGGATATTATCCCTCATTGCTAAGTTACATGAAAACATTGTAGAAACTCTCAGGCTTGATTTTGTAGTTTTTTGGCTGTTTTCCTGCAGAATGGCCACTTGTGACATGGACAACTGGAGAATTTCTCATGTATAAAAACACTATAAAACCAAAATATTGCTTCTTGTAAATCATTTAAATATAGGTAGTGCAATACATTGAAGGGACTAAAACGTAAGAGTTGGCTTCATTTACAAAATAATTTTTGTTTGGTATTGTCACAGTAGCAATAGTAAAATGAAGCAAATAAATTCAAACAGGAAGCATTTTAGCTATTTTTTTATTTTGAAGATGTCACAAGATTTATTTTTTGTCACTTGCATTTTACTTATTTTGCATATTCAGGAAAAGACTTTGATCCATTTTATATTAATCTAAGTGACATCATATGCTGTTTTAATGATTAGCAAGCTGTATGTAGTGATCTCCAATGTTAAAATTCTTTTGCTACTTTTACATAAGTAATATTTTGGGATGGAGCCAGGTATTTATTATTGTATTAAAATATCATCAGTATTCATTTTATATTGCTCAAAACAATTTGTATTGATAAGTTTAAAAGTCTCTGCCTTGGTGTCTTTTAATGTCACAAAATGTCCTTAGACCATGAGCAACACTTAATCCCATATGGAAAACTTCTATCATTGATACAAATTTTTGATGTTGAGTGATTTTCAAATCACAAAAGAAAAGATTATCTAAAAACATTTTCAAACTTGCTAAAGACCTATTCCTGCAGTATATTTTACATCACAGAAACAGTGATCATTAAACTAAACAATGAGTAAACCCAGAAATACTGTGGCTGACAGATTCTTGTTAAGGGCTTTGATTGCCTTTATGTATAGTTACCTTGCCTAAAAAGCTATTTTTATGTGACAAAACGCAGTATTTTCTTTTCATTATGTGTTACAATCCATTTTTTTTCTTCTGTTTAAGGTGGTTTAGATTAGAATCCAAACAAGGAAAACGAATCAAAAACAGGGGTGAGATAAAGGTCAATATTCAATTTATGAGGAACAATATGACTGCAAGTATGTTTGACTTATCAATAAAGGACAAAACCAGATCTCCTTTTGCAAAGTTAAAAGATAAGATGAAAGGTAGAAAAAATGATGGAACATTTTCTGATACGTCTTCTGCAATCATTCCAAGTACTCACATGCCCGACGCCAATACTGAATTTTCAACTGGTGAAATACAGATGAAATCCAAACCAAAAAAGCCTTTTCTTTTGGGTCCTCAGCGACTCTCATCAGCGCATTCAATGTCTGATTTATCTGGGTCCCACATGTCTTCTGAGAAGCTGAAGGCTGGCACCATAGGTCAAACACATCTTCTCAGACACCAGTTAGATTCCTTTGGAGCAGTTCCAGAAAGTGGTGAGTGCCACATTCTCGTGTCCTCATTGGTCTGAACTACCTTTAGTTTTTAAAGTTTAATTTCTAAATTTAGAAAATAAAAATAGCAGTTGCTTTATAGTATTTTCTAAATTTAGTCATTCATCAAATATTGAGTACCCACTATACCTCAAACTGCTAAGTTCTTGAAGGCAGAGCTTGTCTGCATTTGTATTTATACTATTAGATGACAATAAAATGAGTACCAGTCTCCTTTCATGGCCCGGCTGCCTTTTTTACTGCTGTTTCTGCGATCTCAAAACCCTCAGCGTAAATGAATGTTCCATTCATCATAAAGTCCCTAGAAGAAAACTTTTATGTTCAGAAGTAAGTTAAATTTAATGCCAATGAAAAAGTCTTTGAGAATTTTTAGCATTATCATGCCAAACAGAACCTCTAGTTTTGACTTCATAGTTTATATATGATTGTGAGCTGAATAAATTACTAATGGCCTAGCAATATGCTAATTGTTATTAGCCTAGGTACTTCAGACTGCTATACCTTAGCATTTTAAGATTGTTTTCCTTGATTTTTTGAAGGTTAATAAGTTTAAGTAGCTAATTGCTCTAATTCTAAAAACAGCAGAATACACACGGAATGTGTCAAGTAGTGTGATGTCATGTGTCACTGATTATGTACTAACTACAAAATTGTTTGTAGGAAGTCTCAAATCTCCACACAGAAGAACATTAAGCTTTGATACTTCTAAAATGAACCAACCTGACAGCATTGTGGATGAAGGTGAATTGTGTTTCAGAGGACAAAATGACCCATTTACGAATGTGACTGCTTCATTACCCCAAAAATTTGCAACACTGCCAAGGAAGAAAAATCCATTTGAAGAAAGCAGTGAAACATGGGACAGCAGCATGAGTTTATTTTCAAAACCAATCGAAATAAGAAAAGAAAATAAAAGAGAGAAAAGGGAGAAAGTTAGCCTGTTTGAAAGAGTTACTGGAAAAAAAGATAGCAGAAGATCTGATAAACTAAACAATGGGGGATCTGATAGCCCTTGTGACTTGAAATCACCTAATGCATTTAGTGAAAATCGCCAGGACTATTTTGATTATGAGTCAACCAATCCATTTACAGCAAAATTCAGGGCTTCCAATATAATGCCATCTTCAAGGTAAGCTTAATATTGGGGGAGTTCTACTATTTGGGAGAATCTTGTACTTGAAAGTATCAGATATTTCTTTTAAATACTAGAATATTTTCAAGTTGTTTTATTTTACTTGAAGAAGATTTTTATATCTATAATTAAATTATAGAGCCAAGCAAAGTTGCATATATATTTGGAGCTGAACTTTTTTATCATGAGACGATAAAAGACTTATTCTCTGTCCTGGTCTACTTCCACTTATGTGAGCCAGAAACTCACCGAAACTTAGAAAACAACATGGCTTGTGATGAAACATGGAGAGAGTGAATTGCCAGTGGGTGTTAATTCAAGCCAGAAATTTAGGTGATATGTTTCTAGGGATTTGTTCGTGAGCTGTCTGGAAAGGACCAGCAACAGCCCATGGGCTATTCTTTAAGAAATACCAGCTTCAGTATTAATGGTTTTCCTAATAGATGTTAATTATCCTTAATAAATGGCTATTTAGAAGTAGTTTTTATTTGAGAATGTTTGTTATTGGAATTCAGTGGCCCTCATGGGTTCTGCAGGTACACCTAAGGGACCTAATGATGATTTCTAGTCAGAAATAATCACTCATGAGAAAGATTGGATTTTCAAACTTTGAGTTTTCAGTTATATATGTAATGGTGATTTTCTTATTCCTTAGTATATCTAAATTTATATCTAGATATCTAAATTTAAATCCATATATAAATATATCTATATAAATTTATCTACATAGATATAAAGTTATATATGCTAAGGAATAAATTTAAATATGGTTATGGATTTTACAGAAGTAAATGATGAAATAGCTGATTAAGGAAACTTCAAGCAAAGAAAAGGATAAATTTATTGCCATCTTAAATATAGCTGCCCCCCTCATATTTGCAAGTTCTGCATTTTTTGATTTGATCAACCATGGATTGAAAATATTTAAAAAATAAATAAGAAATAACAATATAGGAATTAGAAAATAATACAGATTTAAAAAACAGTACAGTGTAACTATTTACATAGCTTTATATTGTGTTAAGTATTCTAAGTAATCTAGAGATGATTTAAAATACATGTGAGGTTGTGTATATGTGCAAATACTGTACCATTTTGTATAGAAGACTTGAGTATCCCTGGATTTTGGTATCCTAGGAGTCCTGGAACCAGTCTCTCTCAGATACTGAGAGACCACTGTGATTATCTTGGAAGAGCATGCTAGAGTGTTAGCCATGTAATAGAAGATTTTCTTCAAGACAATAATGTGGAAAGTACAGACCTGAATGGGAATGCTGGCTTAGAAGTGCTGTGACCTCCATAAACCTCAGCATCTCCATCTTTGAAACAAGGAAAATAATCCCACTTGGTAGGATTCAGTCAGGATAAATGATATTATATATATAAAGTACATAATACGAAAGCAGGGCCCAAATAGAGAACCCATAAATGGTGACTTCAATTATATTTGATGTATTGTCATGTTATATTTTACTAAAAAACAGTGCTTTGTTTTGTCCCACTAGAAGCAGCAAATCCAGTATTAACAGTCAATCACGCTTTTAGACTGTGCCCTCCCACCTCTCTTATATATCTTACATGATATTTTAAAAACTTGCATTTAAAATTTTCAAAGTGAAGTGTACTTTTTTTGTTTTCTTTTACCTATAAATTGATATTTGCCATGGTTTAAAAGAGTATTCAGTTCTGTTTATAAACTATACTCCAGAAAAATAACCTTTTTATTGTATGCTATCAATATTTTATTGAAGACTTCATAGGTTTGATATGCCATTCAAAAATATTTTGATATTGTATATAGCGTACTTCCCATATTACATTAAATCTTAAATTATATGGGTAAATAGAAATATATTTGCTTCTTTCCCCGTTTACTAAACTTTTTTTTACGGAAGATTGTTGGAAACAACTGTCTGAGATAACTTGGAGATTGGGCAGTTTAGCTAATTTTAGAGTCAAGGAAAAGCAAGAAAATGGAAAATGGTAGGAAAATAATGTTTTTACATTATGGGTGCATATGGGGAAAAAAAGTTTATTGAGTATTCTCAAATCTTTAATTCCCCTATACTTGAGCTGTTTACGTGGACCGTTATGGGTTTTAAAAGTGAGTGTGGCATTTTGGCAGATCCGGGCTTTGTTTTCAGTTACTTTATTATTAATGACTGTTTCTATCAAAATTAGAGATGTTTTATGATGTATAAAATGATTGCAAGTATGAAAAAAAAGTTGTTTTTTGTTTTATGACTTTCTCTTCTTCATATTTATGGGATGCCAGATACGAGGACAGAACATTTGTGGATTCCTAGGAAGTTATTATTTTTGCATCACAAACCATCCGTGTGGTAAATGTGAAACATTTGCAGTAAAGGGATAATTCTGGTTAATTTATAAAAAAGAATTGAATATAAATAGACCCAGAAAGAGAGTGCAGTTCACACTTTTGGCAAGCAGCTTTATCTTGAGTGGAATTTGGGAGGATATCGCCAAGGTAGTGTTGTCTTTACATAACGGTATATTCCTGTTTTTCCTCCCAGTGTCAACCCTCAGTTATCTGGGACATTGTAAATTTCTCACATTAACAGCCTAACTGCATGCACTTTTGGAGCTACGGACTCACATCAGTAGGACACGTGCTGTGAATTTTTTCAGGAGGACTAAATAGACCTATTTACAGTTTGCTGGCCTCTTGTGTCCAGTGTTTGTGAGAATGCTGAGCAAATTTAAGGGCAAAATATATAGCTCTGGAACTGCATTTCCTTCTTGATGAGTAAACTGGCTCACTTGTGACTGCAGGTACCTAGGAACCATACTGTTACCCTCTGATTGAATAATGTATATGATTAAAACTGGAGAATTAAAACTGGAGAATTTTCTTTATGCTAAAAATTTGAAGATATACTAAGGTACACTTTTTAAAAAAAGAGTTAGACTTTATATCTTAGTGTAAGTAAAGTCCACCTGAAGAAAGCACTTTGGAAACCACAAAAAATTCTACATTTTGCTTCTGTCCTTGGAATAGGTCCCATAGTTTTACATAAAACTGATAGAGGAAATTAGGCGTTTTCTTGGGTTACTTCAGCAAAGAACGGGGCTCTTTCAAACACTTTTTCCCAAAGTTACTAATTTGTAGTCTCTTAATGCCCCTGTTTCTTTGGAGCCTTTCCTGTTCTCATAGGGAGACATAGTTGTTCACTGTGCTGCAGCATTTGCTTACGTAAGTCTTACGTAGGCATGACATTGTTCACTAACAGCTTAGTCTCACTTTTCTTACCCACTACCATGAACAGTTTGATGGCAGGATCTGCATTTCATTCCTCTTTTTGCCCTGAGTCGCCAGTGTGATGCTTGTTAGGTAGTGTATTAGATATTTTGAATAAATGCACGTAGTATAGCAGACCTGTTTCCTAAAATGCTAATCTTGTTCTGTTAGCCTCCTACTTCCAGACCTGCTTGCGTGGGCTGTGAAGATCTTTCAGATAGACTGAAAACATATCCATAAAGGCAGATGTATGCAGTTCTGTGTATAACTGAACATTGTTAAAAATCTAAGTTTTAAAGGATTACTAAAATGTGATATTAAATCTAAATAGTACATTTCTGGAGTCTATTAAGAACTGTCTCTAAGGATAGGTTGTCAGCTGTAATAACCCCAGGTATCAGTGGCTTATCACAGTAAAAGTGTATTGCTCACTCTTGTCACAAGCAGTTCACTGAGAGGGTGATAGGAAAAGTGAGTGCTTTGCTCTGTGCATTCACCGGGCTTTGCACAGTCTCAGGAACCAGGCTTCTTCCTTCTTGTGGTGCTACCATTTAACACATGGCCTCCAAGATCAGTGCAGCAGGGGAAGAGAGAGAAGATCAAAGGAGGGTCATTTCTCTGTGGCAGACCAAGCACAGTATGCGTTACTTCTACATATGTACCATTGGCTAGAGCTCACCCATGTCCCAACCTCACTTTAATTTGTGAAGAACTGTGACTTAACTGTTTACCCAGAAGGAAGCTGAATTGCGTTTAGTGAGCTTACAATATTGTGTGTGCCATTGATGCCAAATCAGCTTGCTACTAAGAAGTCGGGATGCTGTCCAATGCTGGCATGCTGTAAAACTCCTACGACACATATTCAGTAAGTAGAGTTGGAGTTCTTGTAATCTTCAAGAGAATATTTTCTCAGTTTATTATTGGTACTAAGTTGTATTTTAAAATTGCTACTAGTCTTGCTTTTTAATTGTAAGTCGCAGGTAGTTTAGCATCATCAGTATCAACTTTTTTTAATCATTTATTAAATAAATTGTCAACTAATTTATCCTATGGTTTATCCCATAATTTGCAGTTATCCTTTTTTTAATCAGCAGTATATCATTTGCTAAAAACAAATGTGCCCAGATATTTGTTATACCATTTTTAATAATTTGTTCACAACAAATTATCTTTTAATAAGTTATATATAATGTAACAAATAATAAATTATAAATAATGCTACCATTAGGCTATTTTTGCACTTAAAAGTGGAAATGATGGGTGTCTTCATCAAGCCAAATTTGTTGATTCTCCCTCTTTTTCTTTGTTTTCTTTCTTTCTTTCCTTCCTTCCTTCCTTCTCCCCTCCCCTCCCCTCCCCTCCCCTCTTCTCTCTCTCTCTCTCTCTCTCTCTCTCTCTCTCTCTCTCCTCTCCTCTCCTCTCCTCTCCTCTCCTCTCCTCTCCTCTCTTCTTTTGTAACTAGTACATAGCAAGTTCTGGCTTATTTAAGACTTTATGGAAGAGATATATACCACTTCCAGGTCTGGCCCATGGAATGTCCTCTTAACACTGTCCTCCATTTTGCCTCTTCCTCCATATTATCCTGTACCAGGGATTGGCAAAGTAAGATTAGAGGCCACATCTGGCTTGCTGCCAGTTTTTGTAAAGTTTTATTGGAACACAGCCACATTATGGTCATTATTGTGCTGTAGTGGTAGAGTTGAGTAGTTGTGGCAGAGACCATATGGCCAACAAAACT